CTGCCATGGTTCCTGTCAAGGTGGGGGGTGGCAGCATATTTTTTTATCAAAGTGCTTAATTGACATCCTGAATCGATTGGCACGAGTTTCAGCTGGATGTTTTTTAAGGGGGTTTCATCTCAAAAAATCATACCGGAAGTGGCCCTTTTTTTAACACTTCGGTCAAGTTTTAGGGCATATAAAACCCGGCACAGGGTTAACCACTAAAAAAGCTATCTATTCGAATAAAATTCAGCCGGATGTTCGATGAGGGAGGGTTTTGTGCAGCCGGCTCTCCTACTATGACGGGTTGCCCATTCGTGTAGGCGCGCATAGTCGTTCACTCACATATAATGCGCCGAAGCCTACGCAGCTGTAAACGACCATGCGCGCCTGCATGAATGGGCAATCCGTCATACTGACCTGTATATCGATGCAACACTCTGTACATAAATCTAATAATCTAAAACCTCTTTCTCTCCTCCTTCCTACATATCTCTCTCCCCGGCCTCTCTCCGATTTTTCTCCTCTTTCTACTACCCCTAGTCGAACTCTTTCTTACACCTTAATTCTCCGCTGCTCCATCTTTAGCTTCCCTTCCTTTCTTTGTCTCTGTTTCCTCTCTCTTCTTTACCGACTCCTTTCTCCTATTTCTCCTCTCAAATCTGCGCAGATTCTTTATATTTTTCCTCTTTACGTCTACCCTTTCCTCTGCCATCCTCTCCTCCTTCTCTCCATTCTGCCCTCCTTCCTTACCACCTCCTTCTTTGCTTTATTCATTCCCCCTCCTTATACCCTAATCGTCTCTTTCTTACACCTCTAATTATCTTCTATCCTCCTGTACCACCTTCTGTTTCTTCTCCCCGTCCCAAAACTACACCACTTCATCTATCACTATTCTCCTATTGTTCCCCTTTACCCTTCCCCCTTTTCTTCTCTCCAATTCTCGCTTTCCTCTTTCCTCTCGTAATATACCATCTCTTCCCCCCTCCTCATTCTTCCCCTTCTCATTCTTTTCTTCCCGCTTTTCTTTTCCTCTCTTCTTCACCTTCTTTTCTCCTCCTTCTTCTCTCCGTATAAAAGTGTCCAAACCTGTTTTATATGATCGTTCTTCCAATACTTCACAGTTAACGCCACAGGCAATTTATTTTATTATTTTCAACAAAAAATATAATTATTTACATAAAACATTTGTTTGGTAAAAGTACAAAAATCACCCAGCTTTACCTCGCCGATTAATTATACTTTTTGGAACAAATTGTTATGATGTTTTTTTTTCCTTAAAGTACAACTCATTATCTATCTGTTTCTGTAAATTAAACACTCGTATCTTAAAAAAAACTGTGGTTTAAAAAACCCAATTTTTTCGGATTTTCAAGATGTTTCTCTTCTTTAATTCTTTTCAAAATATATCTCAAGTATCAGAAGTTTCATGACATTCTAATCTATATATTCTTTTTCCTTACTGTTTTAGGCATATCAATTAAAAAGACTTCAAAATTGGTGTATTAGATCCTAAGATATAAACAAAAGAAAACACTGGGTTACATTAATCCGTGTGCGGTATTAACGGGTGGCACAGGAAGTGCGGTGTTTGAGGGTTAAACATAAATAATAGATTCATTAATTTATCTCATAAACAACATGCTACTATTGTTACACTGACTATATTAATTAAAAACGTTAAGCAATAGCAATGTCGTTGTTCGCAGCTTACATTTACATGTCGATGTCACTGTACTTGATAATACCAGTGTCGCCGCAGATCATGGACATTGTAATGCCTCTCAATGACAGTCGTCCACGAAAGTTTCTGCTCGAGGTCGAGTATCGTGTAGACCGAGAGAAATACTACTATCCCATTTTACTCCATTCTTATGTGGCGATTACAGCGATCATATCAATTATGGTGTGCGTCGACACTACATACATAGCGTACGTGCAACATGGTTGCAGTTTATTCGCAGCCATTGGGTAAACGCAACTTTTTAATACTCACTGCAGTATAGTGTAGATTCTTGGATCTTAGATCTATTGTTAGAGATTAATATTTCTCCAGGCATCGATTAGAGCATATTTCGAAAGGACACATCGATGAGACGAGCCACTTTGCTAAAGAGAGAACGCGCCGATACGTAGAAGTCGAAGATATTTGCTTCAAAGAAAAGGCGATTTTTCAAGAATTTGTCACGTGTTTGCGAAAACATCAGCTTGCAATACAGTTTGTACTTCCTGCATGTTCCGTTACGCGCGTCGTTGCGCTGATTAAAAACTGAGATATTAACTTATTCGGAAATTGCCTACTTAAGAGATCGATTCGCTGTTTATAATATCTATTATCATGTTACATCAACTATTACTAAACTTACGAATTATTTTTTACGTCGCCAGGTATGTTCGTTTGTTAGAATCTTCCTTCACGGTGTCGACGGGTATCCAATTGTTGTGTAACGTTGTTGGTATAAGCCTTATAGGAATTCAAGTAAGTATTACGAGTATACAGGGTTCCTCAAAATGACTAGACACCGTTCAAAGCTTCAAAGTATTTTCTTGTGTCGTATGCAGAATTATGTCAATATCTAAAAACTCAGTCAATGTATAAGAGCACCTTCACTTGCTATGCCATGCCTGAGCGCGCGAAATTTTCGCAACGGATTGGTGAACTATAAGTGCTTCCCATTTAAAAATTATTATAGCCTCGACATTTTTGCATAAGAATCTTCGTCTTAGAATGTTCCACAGAATCTATTAGTGAAACGATGTCCGGTCATTTTGGGACACCCTGTATATTATTAAGGCAAAATTTACAGATTGGCAGATTGGCGTTGATAGCATTTATCTCCGGTAATTCTATTTATCTAGGTAATTAGTAATCTCGACAGTACCGAAGATTTCATTAGATACGCTAGCTTATGCATAGCGGCGTTTTTCCATCTTCTGTGCATGACTTTGCCAGGGCAGAGATTGATAGACCACAGCTTAAATGTGTTTAATAGCGCGTAAAAATATTATATAACATTTGATAGATAAAATATTAGAAAAATATTGCCGGGAAACTGTGCTGGATATTTTGATGTAATAATTACTATATTATTTAATAGGCAATGTATTACGTATATATTACATATATATTACATTAAACACTTATGATAGTCATTATAGATGCCGCAATGTCTGTTAGATCGCGCATGATTTCCCGCGATATACAGTAATTCCCGCATTTTGAGTTAATTCTCAAAATATTATGTATTAATATTGAGATAACTCTATTATTAAAATATATATATTAGTAATTAATTAATAAAATTGATTCTCGGTCAAAAAGGAAATGTTTCAGTTGTAGGTCACACTGGTACGCGTTCTCATTAAAAACCAAGAAATTGTTGCAGATATTACTTTACCGAAGTATCGTGCCGTGCACGTTGACTGCCGGTAAAATATACGTAATGTCGATGGCCAATTATAGTGCGGTAAGCACCATTGTGCATTACAAACTATATGATTTGCCTTTATAAATGATGCGTATATGTAAAATGCGTTTGCTTGTGCAAGCTGTATTGCACTGAAAGAATGATGTTTTTGTTTAAGGTGGTGCAGACCGCTATGTCTTACTTCATGACGTTCTCTTCTCTGAAATAACGAGTTCTCTATAATTAAACATCTTTTGTAGTTCCATCCTAAAAATAAATAAATTCCCAAATATTGAAAATTCTATATATGTACGTTGTACGTAGTGTAAGTTTGAAAAATATATTTTATAAAATCCATAAAACTGGGACATTGAATCATTGAAGACCGAGCCATTCGATACATTTTTACGTGCGACATGTATTCGTTAAAAATCCTGCAAGAAATTCTAATGCGCGTAACATCTAGATTTTGATCTTTTAAAATATGAAAGAAATTGACATAAATGATAAGAGAAGTGATTAATACATTTTATCTGCCGCATATTGCGTAATCTGCTCTTTTGTATCAAAAACTGAACTGTGCGCGGCCTCCCCAGAATTAACATTTCTTCCTTAAATTTCTCTGAATTAATTTTATTCTTCTGGCTATATATTAGACATGTCTACTTTGGCTATATATTTTTTATCTGCTTTTCCTTTCTCTTTTTTTTACCTTGCTACCTTGTTAGAGCATGAAAAATTCATATTTCGGATCGTGCAATTTCGTTAAGTACAGCTTGTCAACGTGACGCGACGGGGACAAATACGTATTGTCTACTGATGATTCGTCTGTGCAACTAAGTTCCGTTTCTCCCTCTCGTCGAAGCATCGTCCCCCTTCGTACGTACAATTCTTCCCCCACAAATTTTCAGTACATTGGCGGATTAACATGAATGCGTTGTTCGACACGCGCTATTATAATATAACTAAACTGTTTGCGTCGATGGTCGGTATATGGCCATATCAGTCGCAATTTAGAAAAAAGATCATTCAATCAGTCAGCATGTTCGTAATGTTCACATTTTTTCCGCCTCAGGTAAAGGAAGCATTTTGTATTGAAAAGTATTTTAATGCATACTGAGAAAGGTCCCAGAAATTCCGCGCAAGTTAATTTCACGGTAGTAGACAGTGTCAATTTCTGGAATAAAAAAATACTCGAATTTACCGTTCGTATTTTTTGTGTATATTAGGTGAAGAGATTGTACGATGTGTGGGGGAAGGACATAGACGCCGTGTGCATGTGTATACCTCCTATCGTGACTATTTTAGTGAGCATGACTAAAGTAGTGACCAGCGTACGATGTGAATCGCAGGTTACTAATTACGACGTTATCATTTTGCACGTTATCTTTAAAGTCGTTCGATCGTGGCGCGGAGCGTGAAATTCACGCAAATACATTATTTCCGATTAAAGCCGCGCGTCTCTTCACGAAATGCCGTTTTCAGGTGAAAGAGTTACTGCGCCAGATCGAAATGGACTGGAAAATAAATCCGACGGCGAAGGAGTATGAAATTTTAGTGAATTACACGTCGAAGGGGAGAACGTTGTGCATCGTTTACTCAAGTATGAAGGATTGTCGCGTCGCACCGGGCGTAGCGAGCGTGTATATATATATATGTATATTGTTATACCTGCTCTTTCAGCTATGTTGTGTAACGGACTTATGTGCTTTATCATGACACCGGTGATCTCGCCGATACTGGACGTCATCTTACCCCACAACGGCACGCGCGCGAGAAGCTTGGCCTACGACCTCGATTACGGGATTGACGTTCAGACTCACTGGCTATGGTTGTGGCTGCACAGTAGTACGACGTCAACGGCGACTATATTAAATATCATTGGCGCCGATCTGATGTACGTTACGCTTACCGTTCACAGTTGCTGCCTGTTTGCGATAGTAAGGTAAGCGTCAAAGATATATAAGATATAAGTAACTCTGTTCGTTTGCAGCTAATTGTAAGTGAAAACGGCTATAGATTCTGCATTTTACTACACAACCGACAATTCGCAATGATCTGAGAGAGCTATAGCTCGATGAAGATATTAAATTGTTTTCTTAAAATAATTTAAAATAATTAAAATAATTAAAAATTAAAGATCAAAATTTGGTTTCAATAAAAAAAATAAGCTTCTCTCACCAGATAAAAAATGTGATCAACGTTTTAAGCAATTGTAAAGAAAACAAACGTTATTTAAGAAAATAATAAGCTCATCTAACGGTAATTACCAGACACCCTGTAGAATATTCACGCGTGGAAGATGAAATAATCGTTTGACCTGCAGACACAAATTGGAGCACGTTGCCGATTCGATAAAAAAGCACACCATGCAATCTCTCGAGAATCATAATTATAATGTTGAATGCTACATAAAATATGAAGATCGACAACTAAGATTAAAAGAGCAAGCTGCTGTCGTGAGAGAATGCGTCATTAATCATCAAAGAGCAATACAGTTGGTAAAATATATGTATATTCATATACAAGACGTTCCTTGCTAAACGTATCTCCTTTCTGTAGATAGAAAAAAATTGATTAAAGATCGAGCTGAAGTAAAATACACATTTAATAAGAAACTGTATACGTACAATCATAATCTCGATGGAATTAAAATAATATAATATTGTATAAAATATATTTTTGATATATATATATATATATATACGTTGCTTTAGATTTCTTAAATATATCTTAAACAATCTCTTTGTTAATCAGTTGTGTGCAATTATTGCACTGCATTTATACGTGGTGTTTCCTCGTCATATTAGGCTTAAACCTAATCATCATAAGTATCTCTGCAGTTCAAGTAAGTCTAAATGAAGATAAAAATTACAGCAATCGGACACTTCACTTTTCTTTCTTTTCTTTTTTAGTTAGTGAGCAGGCTATTCCAATGGGATGGGATGGCGATGTGCGTTATGTTCATATGTGGCCAACTGACTCACTTGTTTTTTCTTAGCTTAATGGCGCAATATCTACTGGACCAAAGCTCGAACGTTCACGGATCAACGTGAGTGATCGGAGCGCAATTGTTGCGGACGCATCGGATATTAAAAGCGCCAGATTTGCAGGTATTCATGCTTCTGGTATAATATGCCTGTCCAGATACAAAAGGACATTGTACTGATCTTGATAAGAAGCCGTATACCGTGCAAGATAATGGCTGGAAAACTATTCGTAATGTCGCTGGAGAACTTTTGTACGGTACAAATAATAAAATAAAAATTTAATCAATTAATCAATTAATTAATTAATTAATATCTTATTTATATGTATATATAATGCTATATTTAATTAAGTATTGTAAGTTTTATAATATCTCTTATTTTTTTAGATAGTGCAGACGTCAATGTCCTATTTCACAGTGTTGGCATCTTTTCGATAAGTATTTGCATCTTCTTTGCATTGAAATAACTAACGTCTTATGCACCTTTATAAAATTAATAAATAAAACTATGATTCGTTAATCAAATACCTACTTATTTGATGCCTATACTGCAGTTATGGAAATGTACTGATACTTAATATATTTGTCAGATATAATTACCGTTTTTACCGCAGTTTTCTTCATAATTCTTACGTAAATGTTGATTAAATAAAGAATAATTAAGAGAGCTCAGAATGGAAAGTTGTATTGTAAAATAGAGATAATTAGCATTTAAAAATTTCATATGCAGTGCGTTATTGATTTCAACGTGCGGACCAATTAATACCTGAGAGAGGAAATAATTCCGTATTGGAATGATTGGATAATCTCAATTATCACAAAATTACACAATTTATGAATAAATTGTATGGACAATTTATTGACGTAGAACTACGTCTTTGTCGACAGTAAGTAGAAAATAACATTGGGAGCACAGATGCAACGAAAACCGCGGGGGGGGGGGGGGGGGGGGGGGCGCACTATTGGCCCCCGTGGGGGGGCATCGTGGCGCCGTTAATGATGGTGTTGCCTATGGGATGTCCCCCGCCTGGCATGGCATAGCACGCCAGAGACAGTCGGTCAATCTTTGGCCGACCAACTGCGCATGTTTTTCCACGGGAGCACCTCTTCCGCAAAAGCGGTCGGGCGTGTTACGGAGGAAAGGGTGTCCTTTTGATACACTTAATTTGATACTGGGAATCTGAAGAATATCGAGCGATGTTTCAGGCCCCTGGTACACCAGAGGCTGGTTGCCAGAAGGGTGGGTTTTTAGTGGGTGCAAGCCCCACATATTCCTGACTCATGTCACACTTTGAACGTTTATATCTTTGAAATTAATAATCGTAAAGTAATATTAATACGTCATGAGCTAGGTTATATAGGTCCCATTTCTTCTTGAAAGTTTCAAAAAGCTTCCTAAATGAGGAAGCCAAACAATGTTATAAGCAAATAATTATGCTCAGGTTTCAACATCTTTTAATTTTGGCAATTTAATATTAATTACTGACAACTTTTCTAATTTCATTATATTCTTCAATCTTTTTTACCCCTATTTCATATACAATGCTTTAAGATTTGGTTGATTAAACTCAGCTTTATTAGACTTCTATGTATGTACGTATTCCTAGCTAGCCCAGTCAAATTAAGATTTTTTGATGAAAAAATTGCCGGCAAGCTGGAAATTGGTATACAGGTTTATTTTAGTGTTATTTTAAACATACTAAAAGTCCCCATACATAAAGCGTAAGCCGGCTGCGCCATCTTGAAAAAAAGAGTACAAAAATGGGTTTTTTGCAAATAACTAGGAAATTATTAGTTTCACGGGAAAGAACATTTAGAGCGAAAATGTAGCTGATAAAATTCCTCGCAATTTGGTTTTTTGTAGAACTTTGTACGACCATTAGTTCCCAGGATAGATTTTTTTGAAGCATCGGGCAAATGAGGAAAGAGCTGTTTCTTCGAGTGTTTTTTCAAAATATCTCAGTTCTGGCTGTCCGAAAGTAAAAAATACATACAATGAAAGTGAAATTACCTACAAAATGCATTATTTATGTTATACCGCACGACTAATATTTCTGGAAATATTACGGTTTAAATAAAATTTTGATTTTCGGAAATTGTGAGAATAAATATTTCCTCGCAATATAAGTCGGAAATGGGTAATCCTACGTAAAAAATTATTAAAATCAAATAGAAAAATTATTAAATTTTTATTATTTTGGTTTTTGACCAAATTGCATACGACTAATAGTATTTTTTATATCCATAAAAGAAACGGTGTTTATAGGTACACTTCTCAAAATGGCGGACTTTCGAGTTATCTTTTTTAAAAAAATACACATGTTTCTTGAAATTTATTAAATTATCTTTAAAATAATTTTTTATTTGACCTTCTGTGATGAATACTTCCAGAGATATAGTCTTTTAAATATTTGTTTATGTTAAAAAGTTCTTAATAATTTATAGTTTTTTTTTACAAAACATGACATAAAATTACTTTAGAAAAAATAATAT